CTCTCTTACGGCAAAAACTCATTTCGCTTACGACATGGAGACGGTTCTTACTGCATCGCCGGGAGCGTGAGCGCAATGCACGCGACATCATCGAGGACGCGGGGCGTTGTCGCCAGCGCATGGATCTGCGATAAATCGATGGGGGCAAACGGAGCGACGTAGTGGGCGCGGCCGAGGAGCGGACGGGACGTCGCTGCTGCATTCTCTCGCTGCGTGAGCTGCGCGTACATGGCCGCGGCGCGCGCTGCCAATGGCGTCGTGTGGGGCATGAGCGACATGGTGCGCTGCGTGCACCGGTGCACGAGCTCGCGCGGCGACGCGGCGGCAATTTCGTCCGCGAACAGAGTGTCTGCGATGCTTGCCGACACCAGCAGCGCCGTGTCGTTCGGTGCGAGCTGGAACGCCTCGGTGCGTCCAACCTGCGGATCGGCGTCGGGTGATGCACACACGCGCGCGGGGCTACAAGAAGCGCTGGCCTCCAATCCGTTCTTAGTGTCGAGTAGTATGTATGTACGTGTGAAAGCCGTGGAGGACCGACGACGACTCGAAGACGATGGCGCGATCCCGGACGACGAGCACCTTGGCGCGGCCGAGCGTGTAGACGAAGAGCTTGTGCGTCTCGGGGTGCGCGAACGCGACGCTCAGCGAGGCTTCCGCAGCCATGTCGTGCCCGCGGAAGGCTGTCCGAGCTAGATCAATACTAAGAAAGGATGCACCAACGAACTCCACGCTCGCGCACCTGACGCGATCGCGACGCCGACAACACTTGTGACGGTCGCCTCGTTCAGAGGGCGCGCGCTCGAGGATAGCGCAGCACAGACGCGTTCGAGTGCGTGGACGAGGACGCGGGCAAACCTACCCAACTACAATCAGCCTATTTGTATCCAGTGGAGAGAATCTTCAGACGCGAGCGAGCTGCGCGACACCCCTTGCGATAGAATCGCATACGAAGCGCCGTGCGCAAGGACCAGCGAGTGGTCTATCGCGTTGTAGTGGCTCGCGACGGCAAAGTTTTGTTGGGCAGCTGGAAGGACACAGGAACGTGCGCGCTGGACGCGGGTGACGTCGGCGCCTCGGGCGACGTAGAGCGCACTCGTCGACTTGCCGCGGCCCCGCTGTTGCAATGCAGATGTGGTCTTGCGCCGCGAGGACGGCGCGACCATGAGCGGCACAGCCGAGAGGTCGTGGGCAAAGGTCATTTCAGAAAATGGCACGGTGAGCGCGGGAAGGGAGTGGCTCGAACGCAACATCCGCTGCGCTGGCTCGCGACCGTCGATCGCAGTTGTAGCATGTGCGATCGGCGAAAATGCCACAGCGATGAAGACGGTGTCGATCCAAGTGCATCTGCAGAATTCGAAGCTCGTCGAACGTGCCGCCAAAATGATCGCAGCCTGTCACGTCGTGTACCTGCAATGGGCAATCACTTCTCATGTAATTCCTATTCTATCGCCCATGGGAGCGACATTACACGCCACCCGAAAGCCGCTGCATTGCGAGATCGCTCGGAAACGGTGTGAAAGGTACATGCAAGGCCATAAATGTACTGCCTTGATACATGTAATAAACTAGTATTGGATTAGCGTCGAGGACTATGAAGGCAGTATACATTGGTGCTGCGATTCGGACGGGAGACGGTCACGCCATGGTTCAAGAGCGCCGTGGTCTTGATGCTTTTGAACTGCCGTGTGCTCATCTCGAACGCGACTTGGACAGTGGTGTTGACAAGATGGGCGATCGACTGGATGAGCGTGTGAAGGCAACCAAAGTCGTCGCCGATGTCGCCGATGTCCATGAACGTGAGTGCCGACGACCGTGGTGAGCTCTGGAGCACCGACGCAATCACATTGGCTCGTTCCAGTTTGCAGTGCACCAGACTCACGTTCGTGACGCCCGTCGTGTGGATCCAGTGGCGCAACGTTCTCGCGAGCGTCGGTAGCCGATGATCTAGGATCGCAATACGAACGCACTTGACGCGTCGCAGCTGGTGCAAGCCCAAGGTCTACTGAAAGATCGCGTCAATCGCCGTGTCTGGAAAGCTGACGCCGTGGAGGGTCAGCGCGCGCAGACGGGGTGTCGCGCCAGTCAACGTGGGAGGAACCTCATCAAGTTGACCATAGATGAGCGAGAGATCCTGGAGGTTGGGCATCGTCGGAAGCAAGGGCAGGACCCAGTTGAGGTCCGCCATGTTGCCGACTTGGAGCTGCGTGAGCTTGGTGGCGTCGAGACGTGCCACGAGTTGCTTCGCTTCATCGACCGACGAGCCCGTGATTTTGAACCCCGTCAAGTGAGGCAGCGGCTCGGTACGCGCGAGGAGAGCCTCTACGAGCTCCACGGACCCGTTCATCTCGAGGGTCTTAATCGACGTAGAAGATACAAGCACGTCGGCGACGGCTGCGGCATCGCCCTTCGTCAGCGCGCAGTTGAATGTCACGTGCTTGTGGCTTCTGCCATTGCCGAGCCATTGCTGTAAGGCCGTCGCGAGGTTCGCGTTGATGACGGTCTTGTCGCTCTCATCGTGACTGTCGACTTGCGAGTCTTCGGACACGTCGTCGCGATGGCAGCAGAAGGTTGCCGAGCCGTCGTCAAACTCATTGCTGTCGTCTTCTGAGTCTTCGAAGTCCTCCGATTCCGATTCGGATTCTTCTGAGTCTTCCGAGTCTTCCGAGTCTTCCGAGATTTCCGAATCGTCGTCAAATTCGTCGCGGACGAAGGTGAGATGGCGGAGGCGCGGCGGCAGCGACGGCGCCAGACGGACAAAGGCGTCGACGTATACCTGTACGCTCTCAAGTTGGTCATAGCGCTTGACATGCCTTTTGAAGTTGCCGACCATGCTGCGATCGATGGCCTTGCCGAGGTGCGTGAAGTTGGCGAGCCATTGGAGCGCGCCGATGTTGGACTGATGCTTCTGGTACCCGACGTCGTCATAGATGAAGATTGCTGGTAGCGCAGTGACGGCGGTGACGGCGACCTCCAATGTCTTCGCGGTGAGCAAGTCGGGAATGATTTCCGGCCAGTACTCTTTGAAGGTCCACGACTTGGTCAAGAGCGTCAGGAGCGCCGTCAGTGGCGCATCAAGCGAGGACGCTGGAAGAGCGCGCAGAAAGGCGGTGACGTCGTGGTGCGACTCCAAGCACTGGACGACGGAGAGGCGGACATGGTCGAGGGCCATGGCCGGCGTCGGCGCCGCGTGTGCTCGCTTGGATGCCATTGTTAGAGTGGCGTTTGTATTTTAGTGTTGACACTAATTGCGTGTCAACAGAGAGTGAAAAGACGTTGTATGCGTGATGATGTGGGCTGTCCTTGGCTCAGACGCAGTGGCTCGGGCAACACGCGAGTCTACTAAGCTCGGTACATGCGCTCGAGGCTTGCACTCGCAACACAAAGCTCCTGCGGTGGACTGGGGTTCTCACACTATTTCCGTGCCCATCTTTGGCGACCCGTGATTGGTGCGCTACCGAGTTCGCGTTTGGCCAATCAGATGACGCGAAGATCGTCGAGCTAGACCAAGGGCAAAATGATTTCTTACCGGTATTCGCACTTCACTACGCGAAGCAGCTAGATAGCGCAGACTTTGATGAGCGCCTCTTTCACCAGGTGATGGAGAACGGCGCCGCAGCTGCCGTCAAGTACAAGCTGCCCATGGCGCATACTATTAGAGTTCATACCCTCAAGCTGTTGCGATTTGCCATCCAAACCAACCGGCTCGTCGGCTTGGATATTGTCAAAACCGGTTGTATTATTGTTGCGGGCTATGTCTTCGGTGCATAGGCCTGTTCCACGGACTGCTCGCCGGTTGAGTGCAGGTCCGAGTCCGTGCGAGTGATGGTTGAGGACTCACCGCCAAGACCGCAAGGTTCAATGCACAGTTTATTGACCCGCACATTTGAACGCACCAGAATGGACGCCAGCATGCGGGTGTTGACAACGGCCGACGTGTGGCGACACATCAAGAGCTTCCAGCACGGTGTGCCGCTATCCGTGCACGAGGTCCATCGGGTCTGCGACGCTGTTCGGTTCCACTACGTCTCCATCGAGTCCGCGGGCTTGAGACAGGCGACGTTGACGAAGCTGCCCGCACGCTTCGCGTCGCTTCCGTTTTTGCTCGGTTTCCGACCACGATGACGGTGTCCGCACGTGATCTTCCTCACCTTTCCGCACCAAGAAGACTGGCTGTCGTTCCACCTCGTGATCCTCGAAGGCGACTGGCGCCTCATTGCGCAGTTCATCGACTTGGATCCTGTACGCGTCACGGCCGAGAGCTTTTCGCTGGCCGTGGCGGCCGGTCATCTCGACGTCGCCCAGAAGCTTATGTCGATCGATCCTTCCGTCGCTCTTCTGTGCCCCTACAAGATGGATTGGGACTCGTTCTCGTCCATCTACGTGGCCGCCGCCAACGGCCACCTCGAGATTGTTGGCTGGCTCTGCACGCTAGTCCACGACCTCGACGGGAACGAGCTGGTTGCCGCCGCTGCGTATGGCCACGACGACGTCGTCAAGTACTTGCTCGAGAGGACATCGTCGCATTCGATCGAGTCCGCCTTGACGTGCGCGCTGCGAGGTGGTCATGCCGGCATCGTGCGACGACTGCTGCCGATCGTGCAAACCGTGGGCCCATGCGATATCTACTGTGCGTGGACACCACAGTCCATTCTCGGTTGCGGTCACGTTCAAGCGCTCCAGCACCTTCTGAACGCCAACGTGGATGTGACGCAGATCGACGCCCATGCCATCTTTCTCAACGACGACGACGAGCCGACGCTGATGCTCGACGCCACCTGCGCCGAGATCGAGTCTGTCGCGCGCCAATTACCGCGCACGTTTCACGTGGTCATGCTCTTGGCGGCGGCGCGCCATGGTACGATCGCCGCATTGCAAGCGGTCCTTTGCGGCATCCTCGACACCAACGTGGCGAGCGATTCCGTAGCCAGTATCGAGCGTGCTTCTGCCGAGTCATTGAC